GCAAGCCATTTACCTCGAACTAAGCTAATCAATCCGAAATCACATCCTTGCCACGAGTGTCCAACTCCGAGTGGCCCAAATCTAATCAAAACAATTTCATAATGTAAATATAACTACAAACAACGAGTTTAGCTAAAGGAATCAAAGCTAAGGCAAGAAAATAGAAAAAGGCCCAAAAATCCTCCCCGGGCCCACGTCTCAGAATCCGGTAAAAATTATAAATTAAGAACACCCATTCACTCACGAGTTCACTCGTACAAAAATCATCCCAATCCGACGTCAAATTCTCACTAAAACTCACATTTTACATTGGGAAACTTTTTCCCCCATTTCCAAACTTTTACCCTCAATTTCCTTAATTAGATGATTAAACTAACAATAGATTAATGTATTAGAACCGAATTAGAGTTAGAATTAATTACCCAATAGTTCTCCTTCAAAATCTCTCAAGAAATCGCCTTCCACCGAGCTCAAAATCGTTTTTAGAAGTTATGAGTTCAAACCCTCGATTTTCTCTTTTTTCTGCCCAGCGATTTCCGCTTCTGCGAGGGGTCTACCGCACCTGCAGTCCCGCTCCTACGGCTCCTACTCCGCACCAGCGGAATTACATTAAACGGCCAGATTTCGCACCTGCGCCCCTTTACTCGCAGATGCGGTTCCGCTTCTGCGATCCTTCAGCCGTATCTGCAGCCATTGATCTCCGAGCCTCAGACCGATTCTGCGATCACTAACCCACTTCTGCGGCGCCGCACCTGCGGTCCAAGCTTCGCAAGTGCGAAACCAACAGGTTCAGCAATTCAGAAAATTGTCTAAGTCCAATTCAACTTTAGTTAAGCATCCGAAACTCACCCGGGGCCTCCGGGACCTCAACCAAACATGCCAACCAATCCTAAAACATCATACGAACTTAGTCCAACCCTCAAATCACATCAAATAATGCTAAAACCACGAATCACCCTCCAATCCAAGCTAAATAAACTTGAAATCTCAAGAATTCTACAACCGATGCCAAAATCAACCAAACTAAGTCCAATTGACCCCAAATTTTGCACACAAGCCATATTCAACACTACGGAACTATTCCAACTTTCGGAATCGAATTCCGACCCCGATATCAAAATTTCACTATCGATCCGGAAACTTTAAAAATTCAACTTTCGGCATTTCAAGCCTAAATAAGCCACAGACCTCTAAAACACAATCAGAACACGCCCCTAAGCCCGAAATCACCCAACAGAGTTAACGGAATCGACGGAATTCCATTCCGAGGCCGTCTTCACACTGTTCCGACTACGGTCCAAATTCTAAAGCTTAAGCTCTCATTTAGGGACTAAGTGTCCCAAAACACTCTGAAACTCAAAACAAATCTTCCCGCCAAACCACAATAGCAGAAATAAACACGGGGAAAGTAGTTAATACGGGATCGGGGCGTAAATTCTCAAAACGACCGGCCGGGTCGTTACATCCTCCCCCTTTTAAAACATTTGTTCGTCCTCGAACGAGCATAGAGACATACCTGAAGTGGTGAAAAGATGGGGTAACGGCTGCGCATATCCTGCTCGGTCTCCCAAGTCGCCTCCTCGACCGGTTGACCCCGCCACTGAACCTTTACTAATGCAATACTCTTTGACATCAGCTTTCGAACCTGCCTGTCCAATATAGCCACTGGCTTCTCAACATAAGATAGATCCTTGTCCATCCGGACTGAACTGAAATCCAATACGTGCGACAGATCACCGCTATACATTTGGAGCATCGAAACATGAAATAGCGGATGAACTCCTGCCAAGCTGGGAGGTAAGGCAAGCTCATAAGCAACATCTCCAACACGTCGCAATACCTCAAAGGGACCAATAAACCTCGGACTCAATTTCCCCTTCTTCCCAAATCTCATAATGCCATTCATAGGAGAAACCCAAAGCAAGACCCGCTTTCCAACCATAAATAAATATCGCGAACCTTCCGGTCTGCATAACTCTTCTGTCTGGACTAGGCTGTGCGGAGTCTATCTTGAATCACCTTAACCTTCTCCAAAGCGTCCTGAACCAAGTCTGTGCCCAATAATCTAGCCTCGCCCGGCTCAAACCAACCCACCGGGGATCTACACCGCCTACCATACAGAGCCTCATATGGTGCCATCTGAATGCTGGACTGATAACTGTTGTTGTAGGCAAACTCCGCTAGTGGCAAGAACTGATCCCAAGAACCTCCAAACTCCATCACATACGCACGGAGCATATCCTCAAGAATCTGAATAGTGCGCTCGGGCTGTCCGTCCGTCTGGGGGTGAAATGTTGTGCTCAACTCCACCCGAGTACCTAACTCATGCTGTACGGCCCTCCAGAACCGTGATGTGAACTGAGCACCTCTATTTGAAATGATGGAAACTGGAATACCATGCAGACGAACAATCTCTCGGATATAAATCTCAGCCAACCGCTTTGAAGAATAGGTAGTACACACAGGAATGAAGTGTGCGGACTTGGTCAGCCGATCCGCAATCACCCATACGACATCGAACTTCCTCAAGGTCCGCTGGAAGTCCAACTATAAAAGTCCATGGTGCTCCGCTCCCACTTCCACTCTGGAATCTCTATCTGTTGAAGCAAGCCACCCGGTCTCTGGTGCTCATACATTACCGAGGCACCGAGCTACAAACCCAACTATATCCTTCTTCATCCTCCTCCACTAATAGTGCTGACTCAAATCCTGGTACATCTTCGCGGCACCCGGATGGATGGAATACTGCGAACTGTGGGCCTCCTCTAGAATCAAATCCCGAAGCCCATCAACATTTGGTACACACACCAACACTGCATCCTCAATACCCCGTCATCACCAACGGTCACATCTCTTGAATCACCATGCAGAACCTTGTCCTTGAGGGCGAGCAACTGAGGGTCATCATACTGGCGCTCTCTGATACGATCAAACCAGGAAGACCGAGAAACCACACAAGCAAGGACCCGACTGGGCTCCAAAAGATCCAATCTCACAAGCTGGCTGGCTAAGGCCTGAACATCCATCGCCATGGGCCTCTCCGCTACAGGTAGATAAGCCAAACTCCCCAAACTCTCCGCCCAGCGACTCAAAGCATCGGCCAACATATTGGCCTTGCCCGGGTGATACAAGATAGTGATATCATAGTACTTCAGCAGCTCTAACCACCTCCTCTAGCGCAAATTAAGGTCCTTCTGCTTGAACATATGCTGCAAACTCCGATGATCAGTATATATCTCACAAGGAACACCGTACAAATAATGACGCCAGATCTTCAAGGCGTGAAAAATAGCAGCTAACTCGAGATGATGGACAGGATAATTCTTCTCATGCACCTTCAACTGTCTGGACGCGTAGGAAGTTACCCTACCGTCCTGCATCAATACCGCTCCAAGGATAATCCTCGAGGCATCACAATAGACAGTATAAGACCCCAAACCTGTAGGCAATATTAGTACTGGGGCTGTAGTCAAAGCTGTCTTGAGCTTCTAAAAGCTCTCCTCACACTCCCCCGTCCACCTAAACGGAGCACCCTTCTGGGTCAGCCTGGTCATAGGTGTTGCAATAGACGAAAATCCCTCAATGAACCGACGGTAATAACCCGCTAAGCCAAGAAAACTACGAATCTCTGTAGCTGAAGATGGTCTGGGCCAACTCTGCATTGCTTCCACCTTCTTCGGATCCACCTTGATCCCCTCACTCGATACTACGTGACCCAAGAATGCCACAGATTCCAACCAGAACTCACATTTCGAGAACTTCGCATATAACTTCTTTTCTCTCAAAGTCTGAAGCACTGTCCTCTGGTGCTGCTCATGATCTTCCCAACTCCGGGAGTATACCAGAATGTCATTAATAAAGACAATGACGAACGAGTCAAGATATGGTCGGAATACACTATGCATCAAATGCATAAATGTTGCGGGGGCATTGGTCATCCCAAATGACATAACAAGAAACTCGTAATGACCATACCAAGTCCTGAAAGCAGTCTTCGGGATATCTGGCTCCCAAATCTTCAACTGATGATAGCCTGAACGCAAGTCAATCTTAGAAAACATTCGAGCACCTTGTAACTGATCAAACAGGTCATCCATACGAGGCAAAGGATACCGATTCTTCACTGTAACTTTGTTCAACTGGCGATAATCAATGCACATACACATAGAACCATCCTTCTTCTTTACAAACAAGACAGGAGCACCCCACGGTGATACACTGGGCCGAATAAAACCCTTATCAAGCAATTCCTGTAACTGCTCCTTCAACTTAGGAGGAGCCATGTGGTAAGGAGGAATTGAAATGGGATGAGTGCCCGGCAACAGATCAATGCCAAAATCAATATCTCCGTCGGGCGGCCTGCCCAGAAGATCAGCTGGAAACACATCAGAGAAATCCCGTACTACTAGGACTGAATCAACTGTAGGGGTATCAATACTGACATCTCTCACATAAACTAGATACGCGTCACACCCCTTCTCAACCATTCCTCGAGCTTTAACAAATGAAATGACTCTAGTGGAAGTGTGATCTAAGGTACCCCTCCACTCTACTCGCGGTACACCTGGCATAGCCAGCGTCACCGTTTTGGCGTGACAATCAAGAATAGCATAATAGGGCGACAACCAATCCATGCCCAAGATAACATCAAAATCTACCATGTTGAGCAATAACAAATCGGCTCTGGTCTCAAAGGTTCACTACTGAAAATAGGGCCTATGGCAACACTTTTTTCTGCAATGGTTGTGCAACTGTTACTATTGACCGTGTATTGCAACGGTTGTAACTGTTGCATAAGGTTCTAGGTGCTATCACCACACTTTAGCAATGAAGTCGTTGCATTAGTGTCACAACCGTTGCCGTAGAGTGACTTTTTGCAACGACTTTCGTAACTGTTGCAATAAAGAGATCCGTGGCAACGATTAAGTTACTTATTCTTTTATTGGAACAGGTTATTAGTTCAGTAAATACCTCCCCCCCCCCCCCCCCCTTTTCGCTGAACCTACTACAACCTTTACTTTCACCGAGACACTACAATTTATTTCTCACTGCCACAACCTCTCCCTCTTCTCCGCCATAGTTCCACCACTGCATAGCCCCAAAAACTCTCCTCCATAAAGCCGCCCTCCTTGCAATCGTAACACTAGTTTCCTCGACCAACCCCACCACTTGAGAACCGTCTGCCACCATAAAAACCAATAGCGTTGGCCGCCCAACTTCAATAATTTCAGCACACTTATTGTCAGACTCATGCAATCTATCCTAAAGCCATCAATTCATCCCGCGAAATCGTCGTCGGTAGATCTATTTGAGGTTTCTTTGCTAGAAATCGGTGGCTGAGGGAGAACAAGAGGAAGTTATAAATTTTTAGGGTTTCTTCTTTAATCATCCTTTTTAGCTTATTAATTTCTTGTTGAGTCCATTATTTTCTTTCAATTGAAGCTTTGAATCTAAATTGGGGATCTCTTGGGGTTTCTTATATTATAATTCCTTCCCTTGCTCTTGATTTTTTAAAGAAAATAGAATATTTCTATCTAATTTTCGTTTATATCCTTATAGTTGTTTGTAAGAGGATGCACTGATTATGTTTTTTGTGTTGTTCATAGTTATAATTTTGGCCCAATTACAAGTCCCAGCTCAGGTTTTGCTTTGCCTCTCACCTTTGGTGGTTACTAGGGCTGCTATATCTATGCTTGAGCAGGTACAATTTGGTCTGCACTCTAAAAATAGTTTGAACTTTGATACTACGAAAACAACTAATTATCTTTTGGTAGTGGCCATCTTCTATTTTATAATATTCATCTGAGGACTTTGTGTGTCTATAAATGTGTTACTTTGATGTAATAGTTGTTGAAACATTTTTTTTCTTTAGTTCCTCCATTTCGCTTAAGCATTAAAATTTAAAGTTTTTCTTTTTAAATATCATGTATTAGCTTGAGTGTGTGTGTGTGTGTGTGTGTATACACTTGAAGATTGTATACCTTGTAATGCTTAGTGAATAATAATCAAACTGTAATCATATTTTTGACTCTTTCCTTCAATATATTTCTAATATTGATTACGTGGTGTCAATCTGTTGTTACTAGAAAAGTTCGAGAAACGAAACTTTAAATTAAAAAACATATCTAATACTTTTGTTCGTTGTAATACTTTGGTATTGTTCAATATTCAATACTTCTTTATTTTCATTTGTTTGTACTTTTGTATTGTCTATGCTTCAAGGTTTAGACCTATCGTGAGAGGTGTTTTAATGACATGTTACTTGATAAAGAACTAATATCAATGCTAGTATCTTGTAGCAATCTAAACGGATGAAAGTAAGTTATTGCAACTGGTTGACCAGTTTAGCCATGGTTTCGATCTTAATAGCAACCTATTAGATCTGTGAGTGCATTTGTGGATGCAGGGAAGTGAAATAGTTGTCGAAAAGGTTCCCTTTCTCCAAATCTTTTCTTAACTAAGTTAGATATAAGGTTGAATAGCTTTCACCGTGATGTAATTTACTTATAATATTTTTATTTGCCTGTAACTCCGCTGGCTGCCAGTAGCAATTGCTAATTCAATTGTTATATTTTCATTTTGTTAGGTTTGCACTTGGCTTTATCTCCGACTATGGCCTTCTTGAAGGTATACCCATTTTCTTAATCTTCTTGCCCTTTTATTCCTTTACATTTCTTTTTCCATTTATGCGAGCTTAAAATTAAGAATCATTGTTGAATGTGACTGTTAAGCCTTCAAATCATCTATGAAAGTGATAAAATTAGCTAAATTATTATCTTGCTTTGACATCTTGATGTGTTTGGTCATATTGCTACGTTCCTTGTACTATCACAAGTTTTCTTCCAATCTAAAATAATACAAAGTTCATCTCTGTTTGGACTTTGCCTAAATTCCTTGAGATTCTTCTTTATCATAGTTGGTACTTGCGATGAGGACGTACGATGTAGTTAACACACTCTTGAATCATAATGTTTTTGCATAATCCTTTATTCTTGTTGTGTTGAATCTGACAGTTCTTTTTGCAATTTTTTTCTTGATGTCACAACTATAGTTTTTTAGTTTCTAATTTTATCTTTACCTTTTTTTTGACTGGGCATTGAAACTATGTCAAAATTTCAATTTGGATTGTTAGTTAGTAGTATGTACTTCAACATTTAGACGATTATGCTTCCAAGTGAATAATAAATTATATTGAGAAATTGAGCTTCTTGTTAGTACTTTTTCAGGTGAAACACTTTGAACTTTGAACTTAGCTCCATTTATCAATATAGCAATTTAAATATTTCTGGGTTGGACTGGTCAATTGGATGATGGACCATAGGTTAGAAAAAGCTGTCAAATTATGTGGCCTTCTGTGCGTGTAGAAATTCACCATCATCTTGTTGTAGCAAATCATCCTATGGTATATGACTTATGCTTTGGTAATTTTATACCTCTTCCATCATTTCAAGTAACAATTAGAGAAGAAAACTTGAGCACAATTTGCATAATGAATTCTTTTGCTGCATAAAAAATAATGCTTGGTTTACTTAAACTGTTCCCTATTCCACAATAGCAATGCTTATCTAGGACCTCATTATTTTATATCTTAGCTTTCAGCTTACTTTATTTTTTGACTTTTTTTAATTAATTCTATGTAATTCCAAATCTGACAAAGATTGATTTTTTTAATGGTTTTATAGGTGAAGCAAATGAACAAGGATAGGTGAAAGATATGAAGATCTTATTCAAGAGTATTGGTTGATTGTTGTTAGACTTTTAGATGTTCTAGAATCTTTTATTTTAGAAACATTCGCCAACTTATGTATTAACTCTTGAATTCCCAAACGGTATTGTATATTTAGCTTTTATATATAGATAATGCTAGTTGGATATTTTAGATATAATTTTATATATTCATGAGCAGTTTCCTTTGGAGATTTATATAAATTTTAATGTATTACATAATTTATTATATAGGTAAATAATTGTGGTATAAAACCACCAAACCGTTGCAGTAGCTTGTAGTGACCGTTGCACTAGCTCATAATAATTGTTGCAATAGCCTCAACAATCAATATTGCAACAATTTTGAACCATTCTATTTGATAAGACAACCGTTCCAATAGATCCGCCTATGGCAACATTTTGTAACCGTTACAATAGACATGCTTATGGCAACAATTTTAGAACCGTCACGAGAAACCGTTACAATAGACCTATTGGCACGCGATATGATGTGACGGTCCCATAACCGTTCCAATAGGTCTATTGTAACGGTTTTGCTAGCTATTGCAACGGTTTTGCAGGCGTTGCTGTACGTCTATTTTCTAGTAGTGACCACTAAGAGCAATCAAACATTACCGATAAACGCGGTCCACAATAAGAGAATCTCCCACATGAGTAGAACCATAAACAAGGGAGCTCAAAGAATCACGAGATACGCCTAAATGTGGGGCAAAATAAGAGGACACATAAGAATAAGCGGAGCCTGGATCAAATAGAACCGATGCATCTCTATGATAGACCGGAACAATACCTGTGATGACAGAATCGGAGGCAACAACCTCAGTACGTGCAGGAAGGGCATAGTATCTGGCTTGGCCTTCCCCTCTAGGGCAACCTCTACCTCTCCGACCTCCACCTCTAGCTGGCTGGGCAGGTGGGGTAGCAACTGGTGCTGTAATCATAGCCCGGGAACTCTGCGGGGCACGCTGTGGCTGAGAAGTGTGCGGAGGTGCACCCCTCCTAAGTCTGGGGCAATCCCTCACCGTGTGGCGTGTGGCGCCACACTCAAAACAAGCTCTAGGAGGACGTGGCGGCTGTGACTGGCTCGGGCCAGGTCTTCTGGACTAACCACTGAAAGCACCCCGTGCAGGAGGCACACTAGATACTGGAGGTGCATAATAAGGCTCCTAAGGTCTAGAAGGAGCTGGCATACCACTGGCTGCTGGAAGAGCTGAATGAACAAGGCGACTCATATAATCCCTACCATGACGAACTGCAGCTGGGGCACGGGCACCAGAATAATGGCCCGACTCTCGAGATCTCTTGGCCTCTCTCTCCTCTTTATCCCGAGCATGCATGCCCTTTACCCTCCTAGCAATGCTCACCACCTGCTGATAAGAAATATCCATATCCAACACCCGGGCCATGCTAGATCTGATGCTGGGAATAAGCCCCTCAATAAACCGGCAAACTCTCTCGCGAACCGTAGAAACCAAGGCCGGTGCATGCCTAGCCAAGTCGCTGAAACGGACAGCATACTCCGAAACAGCCATAAAACCCTGGCGCAAATTCTCAAACTTCGCGCGCGATGCGTCCCTGAGGCTCTGAGGGACATACTCTCTCAAGAACATATTTGAAAACTGAGTCCATGTAAGGGAAGCTGCCTCAGCCGGACTGTCCAACTCAAAAGTATGCCACCACTGATAGGCTGCTCCTTGAAGCTGGAACGCAGTGAATAAACTCCACTCGATCCTGATATACCCATAGTGCGGAGGAACGGTGGCACTCCTACAGAAATCCCTGAGCATCCTCCGATGCTAGACCACTGAATGTAGGAGGCTGGTACTTCTTGAAGCCTTCGCTGCTCCTCCTCTGAAGCTGCTGCCCTATCCTCGAGCTGAACTGAGGCTACAGGCGGTACTGGTATAATCTCTAGGACCTGATCAACCTGCACTCGCTGTTCAGGAGTGCGGGCGGCGGGAGTCTGTGCTCCTCCCCCGGCCTGAGATGTAGCTGCAGCAAGGGGAATCAACCCTGCCTAAGCTAAAGTGGTGTACATGCTCATGAACTGGGCAAGGGTCTCCTGGAGAGCTGGAGTAGTAGTAGAAGTAGGCGTATCAGGCGCCTGGGCTCCGGCTGGAGCTGCTGGTGGCTCCTCTGTAGCAGCTCGCGCGGGTGCTCTAGCTGCAACGCGTGCGCGTCCTCGGCCTCTACCTCGGCCCCGACCTCTGACGGCTCTAGCAGGGGGCGCGGGTGCCTGGTCATCTCCAGTAGCTCGTGTCCTCACCATCTGTGAGAGAATAGAAGGCAGAGGTTTAGAATTTTGATATCAAAAATCTCGCACGACAAGGAAATCAAATGAAGTGGAATTTTCCTAACAGTTGCATAGCCTCTCATAGATAAGTACAAACGTCTCCCTACCGATCCGCGAGACTCTAATAAACCGGCTTGTGATTCATGACTCCTATAAACCTAGAGCTCTGATACCAACTTGTCACGACTGAAGTTCTCCCTCCGTGAACTGTCGTGACGGCACCTAGTCTCTACGACTAGGTAAGCCTATCAATTTTCGGAAAAAGGAAATAAAGATACGAAACTAGCAAAATTATGAGTAACATAATTAAGAAGTTTAGAATGCCACTCGGCATATACAATGTCACTATCTCAAACTGAACAAAACACTCCCAAAACCCGGAATCTCATGAACCACAAGCTAAAGAAAATACATAGTGTTCTAACTCCAGAAGTCTAGACAAAAAGGAAATACAAGAAGTCTATAGCTAAAGGGAGAATAGAGAGGGACTTCTAGGTCTGCGGACGCGGCAGATATACCTCGAAGTCTCTGAATCGCCTCGCCTCACGGGTAGTATGGCTGAGCAGAAGAACCTGGATCTGCACACGAAAAACATGTGCAGGAAAGGGCATGAGTACACCACAACAGTACCTAGTAAGTGCCAAGCCTAACCTCGGTCGAGTAGTGACGAGGAAGGTCGGGGCCCTACTGGTTATATAAATATATAATAAGGTAAAATAGTATAGAACGTGACAGTATAATTAAAGATGCTAACAGTCAAATAAAGGTGAAACCTCAGAAAGGAAATAACTCAGTAAGCAGTGATAACAACAGGGGATCTCCCAGGATAACATCCCGTAGTCCCAAACATAAATGTGCCGAGGATCTCCCGGGATACCGTCCCGTAGTCCAAAAGTAAATAACCAGTACAGGGGGATCTCCCGAGATACCGTCCCGTAGTCCCCAATATAAATGTGCAGGGGGGGATCTCCCGGAATACCGATTCGTAGTCGCAAAGTATACAAGCAAGGGGATCTCCCGGGATAACGTCCCGTAGTCCCAAAATAAACACACAACAGTCTCAAGAAAGAAATCTACAATTCTATCCAAGTTCGTATCACGAAAACGGGAAAAATTCTACTCTAAACATGCTACACAGAATCCAAGTAAGCAGTTAAAGCAGATAAGACAGTTAAACCACATAAGCATGCTTTCCTAAGCCTAACAGGAAACTTCAAATACAAGTATTGCTCAATTAAATAAAAACACAGATATTTACTGAATGAAAACGGCTTTTCCCCCAAAATTAGCACATGTACGCATTCGTCACCTCACGTACACGACATTCATATAACAACAGTACCAAAATCTTAAGGGGAGTTCCCCCACATAAGGTTAGGCAAGCCACTTACCTCGAACCAACCTCAATCAATCCGAAATCACGCTGTTGCCACGAGTGTCCAACTCCGAGTAGCCCAAATCTAATCAAATCAATTTCATAATGTAAATATAACTACAAACAACGAGTTTAGCTAAAGGAATCGAAGCTAAGGCAAGAAAATAGAAAAACGCCCAAAAATCCTCCCCGGGCCTATGTCTCGGAATCGGGTAAAAGTTACGGATTATGAACACCCATTCACTCACGAGTTCACTCGTACAAAAATCATCCCAATCCAACGTCAAATTCTCACTAAAAACTTAGATTTTCCATTGGGAAACTTTTTTCCCCATTTCCAAACTTTTACCCTCAATTTCTTTAATTAGATGATAAAACTAACAATAGATTAATGTATTAGAACCAAATTAGAGTTAGAATTCATTACCCAATAGCTCTCCTTCAATATCTCTCAAGAAATCGCCTTCCACCGAGCTCAAAATCGTTTTTAGAAGTTATGAGTTCAAACCCTCGATTTTCTCTCTTTCCTGCCCAGCGATTTCCGCTTCTGCGAGGGGTCTACCGCACCTGTGGTCTCGCTCGTGCGGCTCCTACTCCGCACCTGCGGAATTTGATTAAACGGCCAGATTCTGCACCTGCACCCCTTTACTCGAATGCGGTTCCGCTTCTACGGTCCTTGGGCCGCATCTGCGGCCATTGATCTCCAAGCCTCAGACCGCTTCTGCAATCACCAACCCGCTTCTGCGCCGCCGCACCTGCGGTCCAAGCTCCGCAGGTGCGAAACCAACAGGTTCAGCAATTCAGAAAATTGCCTAAGTCCAATTCAACTTCCGTTAAGCATCCGAAACTCACCCGGGGCCCCCGGGACCTCAACCAAACATGCCAACCAATCTTAAAACATCATACAAACTTATTCCAACCCTCAAATCACATCAAACAACGCTAAAACCACGAATCACCCTCCAATCCAGCCTAATAAACTTGAAATCTCAAGAATTCTACAACCGATGCCAAAACCAACCAAACCAAGTTCGATTGACCCAAAATTTTGCACACAAGTCACATTCAACACTACGGAACTATTTCAACTTTCGGAATCGTATACCGACCCCGATATCAAAATTTCACTATCGATCTGGAAACTTAAAAAATTCAACTTTCGGCATTTCAAGCCTAAATAAGCTACGGACCTCCAAAACACAATCCGAACACGCCCCTAAGCCCGAAATCACCCAACAGAGCTAACGGAATTGACGGAATTCCATTCTGAGGCCGTCTTTACACTATTCCGACTACGGTCCAAATTCGAAAGCTTAAGCTCTCATTTAGGGACTAACTGTCCCAAAACACTCCGAAACTCAAAACGAATCTTCCTGGCAAACCACAATAGCAGAAATAAACACAAGGAAAGCAATTAATAGGGTATCAGGGCGTAAATTCTCAAAACGACTGGCCGGGTCGTTACACTAAACAACCTGAATAAGTATGAAAGTGAAATGACGGGGAAACAATGTTAATATAAAGCTAAGCATGGTAAGGAAGACAAAACAATACTCGCAATGAAACACTAGAAACAACAATTAGCAACAAGAAGAAAACAGGTAATAATGCTGCAGGATAAGATGAACACAGTCTAAGGCCGGTGAAACCAAATAAAGGAAAAACAAGTAACAACTCATTAAGAACAATCGCTTTTACACCAGATTTATTCAAGAATTTTTACGAGGTACCAGACCTCATAATCACAATCACGGGTCCCAATTCATGAACCCTAATCACTTGGCATCTTATGCCCACATTACAATTCATAACCGTACTGACGACTCACGTCCCAAGATAATGACAATATCTAACATCCGCACGGATCATTCACGTGCCAACGATAACAATCACTCACGACTGCACGGTCAATTCACGTGCCAACATGATAACTCTCACACAAAAGGCACGGGAGTACATGTAAATGGTCAAATACATCAGGATTCATCTTCTTAAACCGATATGGGTGATTTGTTTACGTGTATGCTTATGCAAGTGTTCTACCACAATTCAAGTCAACAAGCAAGAGTAGAGACAATTAATGGCACATAAGAAACGATCACCCCAAAATGTACACGATACAACTCACACAATATAGGCACACCATTACACAAATATCAACAATAACAATGCCCCCAGGCCATCACACGTCATCACAAATCATTCCCCGACATAGCTCACCTTGTCTCGCAATGCGCGCAACAATAAAGTAAATGCCCGCCTTGTCTCGCCACACGCGCATAATATTATTCTCACCTTGTCTTGCCACATGCACAAACCCACATATATAGTCCGCTTTGTCACGCCGCATGTGCAAATATCAATAGTAACAACGGCATGGACAACTCACTTGCGAACACCCCGATAATCCTCACAACAATACCACGTGTGCTTAAACATAACAACACAATAAAATAACTTTCACAACATGTGCCCGTATGTCACAACATTTCCTCAAACAGTTTCAATACCACAACCACGCGTAGCCCTCGGCTCAACAACAGTGAGTACAACAGCAACAACAACAATAACACGAGAATACGGTAAGTAAATCAACACAAGAACATCATAATACAAAGAAATGGAAGAACGAGCTCATAAAAAAATACACAACAGGGAATAATGGTCTCAACAAGAATAGCTCAACAAGGGAGAGATAATGTGTAACAATGATTCCAAATAAGTATATGTCAACAATGAAAAGGGATAACAAAACTTCATTTAGGGTTGAACAATTGCGGAAGAGACAACAACAAATTTAATTAAGGATAAGCAATTAGAAAAAGATAATAATAACTTCAATTAAGGATAAGCAGTTACAAAAAAGAAAGTAATAACTTCAATTAAAGATAAACAATTACGGAAAAGATAATAATAACTTCAATTATGGACAAGCAATTACGGAAAGATAGCATGGCAACAAAAGAGGCAACAACTTTACTTAAGGCACATAAGCGTTCAATTGGCTACAAGGGTAAAACATAAATCAATTAATTCCAAATAAGACACGTAAGGGTAAATTTACAAAATGGAGGATTTAACATGATAAAACAACTTCATAACTAATGAACATCAGAACCTAAGGGCCTAAACGATCAAATTTCCACAATTAAGCCTGAGTACATACTCGTCACCCCGCACACACGGTCTTCACATGACATAATTAACACAAATGACTAAAAACCTAAGGGGTAGTTCCCCTTCCCCCTCCCCACAAAGTTAGGCAAGATACTTACCTTAAATAAGCTAGATCGACACTCTAAATTGGCCTTCTCGTGTGAAACAACTTCCGGACGGCTTAAATCTAGCCAAAATAACTTAACATCATAAATAAAACACATAGAAAATGATGCCGGATAATAAAGCTTTGGTCTTTAACTAAAACTAAAAAGTCAACCCAAAAGTCAACCCCGGGTCCGCACATCAGAACCCGATAAATTGAAAAATCTGAATACACATTCGATAACGAGTCCAACCATACCCAAATTATCAATATCCGATATCGAACCGCCCTTCAAATCCTCACTTTACATTTTTGAAAGATTTTTACAAAATTCCGATTTTTTCCCATTCAATTCACTAATTTAATGATGAAAACAATTATGGAATCATGAAATATAATCAATTTCGGATAAAGAACACTTACCCGAAACAAACACGTGAAGAACCCTTCAAAAAATCACCCACCCTCGGACTAGTTTTCAAAAAAATTTGAAGAAAATAAGCTGAAATACGTTTTTAAGCTGCCGAGGCAGCTTATTTCTAGGCAGGTCGCATTTTAAAGAGCAGACCTACTTCAACAGTTTTCCAGGCAGGATATGCAGTGAAAACTGCAGTACCAGTCTTCAGTAAATCGATCATAACTTTCTGTATAAATGTCCAAATTATTAATAGTTTAACTTTCTCGAAAGTAGACTCAAAGCGATACAACTTTCCTTTTTGGATCATCCCTTATAGATTAAAAGATATAAACTTCCGAAATCAGACTAACAAGTCTGCAAATTCGAGGTTCTGCGACCCAAAGTGCCGAATTGCTCAAACTTATTCAAAATTCGCCCGAACCTCTCGGGACCTCAACCAAACATACACACAGGTCCTAAAATATAATACGAACTCGCTCGCGTGATCAAAACACCAAAATAATACCTAGAATTTAGAATTGAATGCCAAAACGTATGGATTTTCAAAGAATTTCAAGAACTTCAAAATTTTCAACCAAGCGTTCGAATCCTATCAAATCAACTCCGAATCGCGCCAAATTTTGCATACAAGTTTCAAATAGCAAAATGGACTTGTACAAAGTTTCAAAATGCCGGGCCCATTAACCACAAAGTCAAACTCGGGTCAAACTTTAGAAACTCAAAACTTTTAGTTTTTCAAAAACTAACAGAAAACGTGCCTACGCACCTTGGAATAACTTCAAATTTTGCACACAAGTCATAAATATTATTACGAAGCTTCTCGAACTCTCAGAATCTAAATCCGGACCCGGTATCAACAAAAATCTAATTCTGGCCAAATTTTAGAATTCTTTAAACCCTTAAATTTCTAGTTTTTGACAAATGGCGTTTATTCAAGCTAGGGAATTCTGAATTTGATTCCGGGCGTACGCCCAAGTCCCAAATCACGACATGGACCCAGCAGGACCGTCAAAATACTAATCCGGGCCCGTTTACACAAAACCTTGATCGAAGTCAACTCAAATGAGTTTTTAAGGCACGATTTGACATTTCCATCAATTTTCTCATAAAAACCTTTCGGAAAAAGATATGAACTATGCACGCAAATCGAGGAAGTCTCAATGGAGCTATTCGAGGTCTCGGAACACAGAAATGAAGGTTAAAATTAAAGATGACTTACCGGGTCATCACAATATAGATGAGTAAAATATCATGATATTATAAATAAAGAAAATTGAAAGAGATAAATATTGATAATATAGAGGTTAAAATAGGTATTTTAAAAAGTCAATTAAGAAATAAGGGGAAGAATGATAATTGTTCAAAGTAGAGGGAGAGTTTGATTTTTAACGCAAAGTTCGAGAGTGTAAATGATTTTCACCTTATAAAATGAGAGAGAGAGTAGTAATGACATAGGTAGAAACTGCATAAGTTAGAATTGAATTAGAAGACCATTAAAATGCAATTAATTGGGTATAGCTTTTCGTTTAAAAACTGAATAAACGACAAGGTCAGTACTCCCTCCGTCTCATATTAATAGTCATGGTTATTAAAAATACTCGTCTTAAATTATTTGTCATTTTAGAAGTTTAAGACAAAATTGATTATTTTTCCCTTTTTTACCCTTAGTAATAATTGTTCTTGAAGATGAAGATAATACATAAATAGAATAAATATGCAGTGAAAAGAGATTTTATGTGAAGACATAAATAAGGGTATAATAGTCAAATCCCTTTTCTAATTAATGTTTCTTAAGGGACGTGTAAAAGAAAAACAAGACAGATAATATGAGACAGAGGGAGTAGGAATTTATACTTTCCTACTCGGCTACTCCTAATAAATACAATGACCACGGAAAACAAACCTGAGAATTACTCCCTCCGATTCACTTTAATTGATTTTTTAATTTTTTTTGTGATCTATAATATTTAATATTTTTTTCATATATCAAGAAGGAATTAACTTTTTTTTCTTCTAAAATTGTCTTTGGAGTAAAGAGCCTAGGAATAAAGGTAGATTTTATTATTTATTAATTTTAAAAGGTAGATTTTTTAATATGTGCGTAAAAAATAAAAAAATCTATTAAAATGAAGGGAGTATTAGACTTAATTTACTTTGCTAAAACTAGATTTGAAAAGGACGAGGGGAGTATTTTTTTCCCCCGAAGTATATCTAATACAGTATATACATTCATACTGAGACAGCAGTTGTACCCACTGCTTAAATGTTGTGTCCACTGCATGTTTCCCATTTTCGTCTACAGCTCATCAAACCCATTTCAATTGCTCAATTACTTCCCTTTTAATTCTATTTACCACAAACCTCGTTTGATTCCAGTTCCCTTTTTTCTTTTTTCAAGAAAATTTGTTCATAATTCAATCAAGTCAATGGACAAAGAGGTATCTTTTTTCTTTCAGCTCGTTTTGTGAGTTTTCAAGTTTTTAGTTGTAATTTACCTGAGAATTACTGCTGATCTGTCCAATTTAACTTTAATATGTTTGAATAGGATGAATTTTTTAATAATTTTTATCGGTGCTTAATTAACTGAGGTGAGATAAGGAAGTTGATTAATAATATCATGCTTCATTATGTTTAATATGTGCTCAATAAATTGAGGAAAGATAGTTAAATTGGATAATTATTGCTTCATTGTGTTTCATTTTCTTGCATAGTAAAATATAGCTTCCATGTCTTTTTTTTTTTTTTAAATAAAAAATTTCTAGTCTTGTTAGAGATTTATATGCCAGTAGAAAATGTAGAGAATTTCTAGTGTTGCATCGTAGGCGGACACAAAATTTGAACTTTAGGAGTTCGAGATCGGGATTCTACCACAGTTCATTCGTTTTGTTGGGTTCGAATTATATTATATGTACTTATTTAATTAACTTTTAACATATATACAGAGTCTGAGTCAAAGCTACTGGGTTAGAAATGATCCCATTATATGTGCTCTACATCCTCCCCAGTGTTACAACAGCAACAACCTAGTGGATTCTCACAAATGGGGTCTGGGGAGGGTAGGATGTACGCAGCCTTACTCCTACCCTGAGAGGGCAGGAAGGCTGTTACCGATAGACCCTCGGCTAAAGAAAATCCTCCCCTATGTTACATAACCTAAATTTTACATATTGGTTTGGGGCGGGTTTAAATGAAGTGACATGGACAATGAGAATTCATACAGACGGCACTGATTAGCTTGGGATTGAGGTGTTGTATGTGGTATTACGAGGCTATCGCCCAATTTAACTAGTCTTATTTGAGTCTTGTCATAGATTAGTTGGTTTAATTCACTTCCATAGCATTACTCATAGGATTTTTTTACATTTGTAGTAACCAATGTTGATAAAATACTTTTTTTGGGGGAAAAAGATTTATCTGGGAAACGCGAACATCCCACAACAATATGTGTTTGCACAATGTCTTGGTCCTATCCACAACTACAAGAGCTCACTGTTTAATTTTAGGTTGTCGCATGGATATGTATGGTAGAAACCCCTAAAGGGCACCTAATTAATTTGTTTTTGAAAGAATAATGCCTGTGATCATTACACGGTAGAGCTACAGTTAAGGTTATTGGTTTTCAGCACTAGTGGCAGTGATGAGAATTGAGAAGTGCTGCGTAGGGAAGTGCAGGGTCAAGGTCTTGTTGTCACATACTTTCTAACCGAGTTATAGCTTCTTGTTCTCCTATCAATAGCCATCCATTACCAATCGTCAAGATTCAGAATAAACAATTAGCAGACATGAGAAATTGAATGCTAGTCACTTGTTAACTAACACAAGAAATGCATTATTAATGCTTCGTTTTGTCAATGATCAGTGATGGCTCTCTCTCTCTCTCTCTCTCTCTCTCTCTCTCTCTCTCTCTCTCTCTCTCTCTCTCTCTCTGTGTGTGTGTGTGTATACATGTATATATTGTGGTTAATTCGGATCTTCTCAGTTAGACTGTTGCTTTTGGGGTTGAAATCATACTTAATTGAAAATTCTCTTATTAAGTATGTCAATGATGCTGGTTTTGACTGACAATTGATGAGCTATGCCTTATGATATCTAGGTGCCATTCTCATAAGTTCAAATCTAGCAAGAAGGATTGGTGAATGGAGCATTGTTATGGAGAAGATGCTGATATAACTGAATCAGAGATTGAAGACTATAAAGAAAAATCATATGAAGAGTTGAGGTGTGGAAATCAATCTTTTAAGATATCAGATGTGGCTTACACTTGTCCCTATTGTCAAGAGAAAAGTGGGCGCCACCTTTTCTATGAAGATCTCTTGCAGCATGCAAGTGGAATAGGAAAGTCTAAAATACGAACCGCAAGAGATAGGGCCAACCATCTTGCATTGGCCAAGTATTTAGAAAATGATGTAGCAGGTGCTGCTATTCCATCAAAATCTAATAAAGAGTTGAACAGTGGAAATCACTCTTTTAGGATATCAGATGTAGTTTTTGCTTGCCCATATTGTCCAGAGACAAGAAAAAGAGGTTTTTCTTTTAAGGATCTGTTGCAACATGCAAATGGAATAGGAAGCTCAAACTCTACGAAGCGAACTGCAAGAGATACGGCGAACCATCTTGCATTGGCCAAGCGCTTGGAAAATAATGTAGCAGGTTCTTCCAGTTCAGCAAAATATTATGAAGACTCGAGGAGTGGAAATCACTCTCTTAAGATATCAAATATGGCTTTTGCTTGTCCCTATTGTCCGGAGACAAGAGAAAGAGTTTTTTCTTATAAGGATCTCTTGCAGCATGCAAATGGAATAGGAAACTCTAACTCTTTGAAGCGAACTGCAAGAGATAAAGCGAACCATCTTGCATTAGCCAAGCGCTTGGAAAAAGATGTAGCCAGTTCTGCCAGTTCATCAAAATCTTATGAAGAGTCTAGGAATGTAAATCACTCTTTTAAGCTATCAAATATGACTTTTGCTTGCCCCTACTGTCCAGAGACAAGAAACAGAGATTTTTCGTACATAGATCTCTTTCAGCATGTATATTCAGTGGGAAACTGTAACTCTATAACGCGAACAGCAAGTGATAAGGCCAACCATCTTGCATTGGCCAAGTCCATGGAAAATGATTTAGCAGGTGCAGCTGGTCCATCAAAATCTTATGAAGAGATGAAGACTGGAAATCACTCTCCTAAGATACCAGATATGGCTTTTGCTCTTGCCTATTGTCCAGAGACGAGAAACAGAGACTTTTTATACAAGGATCTCTTGCAGCATGCGAGTGGAGTAAGAAATGGTAACTCTAAGAAGCGAACTGCAAGAGATAGTGCCAACCATCTTCCATTGGTCAAGCACTTGGAATGTGATGTAGCAGGTCCATTGAAAGCTTATGAAGAGTTGGAGAGTGGGAAACAATCTTTTAACATATCAGAAAGGACTTTTGCTTGTGCCTATTGTTCAGATACAAGAAACAGAGATTTTTCGTACAAAGATCTCTTGCAGCATGCAGTAGGAGTAGCAAGCTGTGACTCTAAGAAACGAACGGCAAGAGATAAGGCCAACCATCTTGCCTTGGCCAAGCACTTGCAAAATTTTGCCACATATTTGGAAAATGATGTAGCAAGTGCTCCCAGTACATCAATTTCTTATGAAAAAATGAAGAGTAATCACTCTTTTAACAATTCAGATGTCGCTTTTGCTTGCCCCTATTGTCCAGAGACTAGAAACAAAGATTTTTCATATAAGGATCTCTTGCAGCATGTTGGCGGAGTAGGAAGCTGTAACTCTAAGAAGCGAACTGCAAGGGATAAGGCTAACCATCTTGCATTGGCCAAGTACTTGGCAAGTGATGTAGCAGGCGGTGCTAGTTCATCAATACCTTATGAAAAGTTGAAGAGTAGAAATTACTCTTTGAACATACCAGCTGTGGCTTACACTTTTGCCTATTGTCCAAAGAAAAGAAAGCGAGATTTTATGTATAAGGATCTCATGTTCCATGTGAGGGAAGTTGGAAGCTGTAGCTCCAACAAGCGAAGTGCAATAGATAAAGCTAACCATCTTACATTGGCCAAGTACTTCGAAAATGATGTAGCACTTGCTGCCAGTCCATCAAAAGCTGATACTCTAGGTGATCCTCAGGTTGATACTCTTGCAAATTATGACCGTGCTGAGATATTTGTATGGCCGTGGATTGCAGTTGTTGTGAATCTTCCCACTGAATTTAAGGATGGACGCTATGTAGGAGAAAGTGGTTCCAATCTGAAGGATCAGTTGATAAGGAGAGGTTTCAATCCAACACGAGTGCGCACTCTATGGACTGACCTAGGCCATTCTGGAATTGCTCTTGTTGAATTCAAGAAAGATTGGTCTGGGTTCTGTAATGCCATATTATTTGAGAAGGCCTATGAGGCCGACTATCATGGTAAGAAGGACTGGGAAGCCAGTAATGACAAAAAGTCTGATCTTTATGCTTGGATAGCTCGAGCTGATGATTATCAGGCTACTAATGTTGTTGGTGAAAAGCTCCAGAAATTTGGAGACCTTAGAACCATTTCTAATATCATGGAAGAAGAATCTAGGAAGACTCGTAAGCTTGTTTCTAGTTTGACCAATGCCATTGAAGTCAAGAAGTTGAACTTAAAGATGATAGAGGACAAATACCAGGAGACTTCCCAGTCTGTCGAACAGTTGATTGTGGTGAATGCTAAACTTCGTCAATCATACAATGAAGGTTTGTGATTGCATATGCGTTCTATTAGGAACTCAGGATATTGTGTATTTGATGGCCTAACATGCTTGTTTGTATGATTAGAAATAAAAAAAATCCAGTCAAGTTCACGCGATCATTTCCAGCAGACATTTATTAATCATGAAAAGTTAAAATTACAATTGGAAACTCAAAAAAAGGAGCTTGAACTCCAACATACAGAATTGCAGAAACGTGAGGCCCGAAATGAAAGTGATAGGAAAAAAATGTCCGAAGATCTTGAACAGGTATACTGCTACTTGCTTAACTGTTTCTATGCTGAATCTGATTTTAGTTTGATCTATCATTTGCAAAAATTAATGGGGACAGAAGATTACAATGACCTTCTTTCCTTGTCAAACCATAATAAGCATTTTTCTGTGAAGGCTGAAAACTTAGGTGATGGCTTGATCTCATAGACGTGGATGTGCTAGTTGAAACTTTCTCGAAATATTCTAGTTATTGTTCACAGCATGGAGTTAGAACCAATGCATGCATGGTTATACCAATTGTTTGAACGTTCAAATATACACTACAAACTAGGTCATTTTCTTCCCAATCTTTTTCTTTATTTTCTACTTTCCACTTCTCGTACTCTTAGAGTAATAGGCATTAGGAAGGCACTGTTCTTTCATGTATGCTTTTCTTTGTTTATTTGCATCTTAATTGGAAAAAATGCTTTCTAGAGAAGCACCTGTGATGGAATTTTTTGGAGCATCACCTAAGGAACCAAGCACCTTTACGTGCCTACCTTTAGTTGAATTGAAGATAGATCTCATGAAGTCTTATTGTTGTTCCTCCAGAATGCTATCCTAAAAACCTCCCTTAGTGCTGCGATTGAAGAGCAAAGGAATGTTGATGAAAAATTACCGAAATTGGCAGAAGAACTGAAGGTCTGGTTTTCAGGTTCCTCTTTTGCTTGTTACTGACGTTATCTTGATTTTTAAGTTCCCATGATATATAAAAAATCACTAAGGTGCCATTTTGCTGTCCGCAGAAACAAAAGGAGGAACTCCATAAGAGAATTATTAAGCTTGAGAAACAACTTGTCGCGAAACAAGCAGGGGAAATTGAAGTGGAGCGATTGCGAGCGACTATGAAGCAGATTGAAGAAGAGGCCAATCAGGAGGTTCTGCAAAAAGTTGACACATTGCTTAAAGATTTAAGAGAAAAGGAAGAAAAATATGAAGATCTAGTGGCTTTGAACCAAACCTTGATTGTGAAGGAACGAAAGAGCAATGATGAGCTGCAGGAAGCACTTAAAGAATTGGTTAATGTATGTCAAGTAATCTGGTTTCATTATACATTGTTGATAGTGTCTATCTATTGTAATTTTAGTCATATTTATTAAAAAAAGGACTGTTACTAGCATATTGTAGCGTGCTTTTGAGGATTTGGGTGGGGTGAGCTCCTCGGTCTACTTGATGATACATGCTGATTATATTACTAGCCCAAAATGGTTTAAAGATCTACTTTATAATCTTTGACAGGGTAGTAAATTGGATTTTTTTATTCCTTTTTCTTCAGTTTTTGTTTTTCTTTCTGGTTCAAAATCTCTTTTGGGGGGTTGAGGAGTTTGGGTGGCTTCAGCATTTGATAAACAAGATTTGAGGAACTGACAGTTTAATTTCTCAATAGGGTTTGAAAGAATTACCTAGAAATGGTCCTATTGGTGTTAAGAGGATGGGAGAGCTCGACAGCAGACCATTTCTTGAAGCAATGAAGAGGAGATATAATGAGGTAGAAGCAGAGGAGATAGCTTCTGAGTTGTGCTCGTTGTGGGAGGAATACCTTAGAGACCCTGAATGGCATCCCATTAAAGTCATTTCCATAAATGGGAAGCATCAGGTATGCTTTTCTTCTGGTTCATGGCGTTGAGTCTTTTACTAAGTATGAAGACAAGAAATAGATTGGCTTCCATTTGTTTTAGTTTCTACCACAGATGTATACTTTGGAATGCTGATCATTTTGTGAGAATTTATTGGATTTACTTGACCAGTGTAATGTGACCTATTTTGTAGACACTGCATAGTTGGAGTATGCTGTGTGTCTTCTCTTGCTTCTGTTGCAGTCTGTTTGAAACTTGATTTTTAGTTTCTTTTTCCCTCAACGGTGGCATAAATATATAGGCTATTATCGGAAATTGTTGGAAATTGTGCATACCAGTTTGTCAAAAATCTGTGATTCAGTGCTGATAACGGACGGATTATATTGCACCATTGATGTGAAAAGGTTAATCAGTCATTGGTATTGATTTAGGAAGATTTAATGTAATTAGCATCCAGGTTTCTATGAATACACTTCAACATTCTAAACAGCTTTGCTGCAGAAGTGTCTGCATTTTATTTCTACCTAGTGTTTTCAGTTTTGTGTGGTCAACAGGGGTTGTCTGGTTCTGTGACAAATAGGAATCGCCTGATTATCCAACCAGTGCTGTTAGACTCCAGTTTGTAGCTTTTGTCTAGGTTGTGTGAATCAGGTTGTAATAGTTGATTTAAAGATATATATGAGTTTATTCGTAGGTTTGAATACTCAAGAATGTAGATTGTATGCATTTGTTACTTTCTGAATAGAATCAATTAGCGGAATAAACAAAACACACTTCACTGGATCTACTATTCACCAGTCTTTTCTATACTGGAAGTTTTACATATTTATACTGTTAATGCTGTTTCAGGCTGTAATTGATGATGAAGATGAAAAACTGAAAGGCTTGAAGAAAACTTACGGTGATGAAGTGTATAAAGCTGTTACAACTGCTTTGACTGAGATTAATGTATATAACCCAAGTGGAGGATACATCATCTCTGAGCTGTGGAATTATGAAGTTGCCGAGAAAGCTACTTTACAGGAGGGAGTTACTGTGTTACTAAACCTATGGAAAAAGAAAATGACACTCGACTGAACTTTGGATGCTTCATTGAGCTTTTCCTAACGTTCTTTAGGTACCACCTTTCACCTGCTATAAAATATTCATCGGTAACAGCACAATTCTGAGGGATGTGTTCGAACACAAAAAGAAGAGGGCACGGAAATATCGAGAATAGACAAAAAGAAAATGATTATAATGGAATATCTGAGTTAGAAATAATAATCATTTTCATAGGCATTTGTTTCCCAACTGAAACTCTGTTTATCTCTGGAGTTCTCTTTTATGTATAAATTTTGTGTTCTATTTTAATAGTTTTCATGATGCTTCAACTCTCTGCTTAGACAGAACCTCATGTGAAATCACATTCCACTTGAGCTCTTTTATTTGCATAAGGAATGAAATCCTTCCCTGTGTTTTGGCTCCAATTTAAGGAAAATGTTTTCTCAGATAAATGTATAACAATGTCTTGAATATGCTGGTTTTCTTTTACTGAAGGCTAGCACAGCTTCACTCTTGCATCGTCATGTACAGTTGCATTTTGTCTTGAGAAGTTATAAGAGGAGCACAAACATGTCATTTATCTATCCAGGGACAGAAAATTAAAGTGGAGAATTGAAAAATATGGAGCATAAGCTGGGGAGGAGGACAAGCTCGAGCTGCTTAAAGCAGGTGAGTTGTTTTGTAAATTTAAGTGCGTTACGCTTGTTCTGTAGATAGATTAGATGAATTTGAATAGAGATGCTGCAGCACTATAGTTCTTGTTGCTGGTTGGTGCTCTAGGTGCCCGTTAGATGAAGGCTCCAATCTTATCACATATTGTTATTCAATACTGTGGATGACTTTTCATTCAACTAAGTATAGCTTAGCTTATTGGTATTTGATCAAGCACGAAATGCATTCTTGAAAACAATAATATGTGAAGAAGATTAGAGTATTTGATAAGAGTGAGTAAAATGATGAGTTGATTGATAATTAATCAAAATTGATTGAGTAGCATAAGTTCAAGGCATATACATAGATATCTTTGACATTTTGTTTCATACAATAACAGTCAGAGGACCTATTGATAGAAAATGTAGCAGAGAAGAAGACAACCAAGAAACGAACTAAAATCTGGAAAAATAGATGTTAAGCACCAGCCAAAGAGTTAAGCAAGAATGATCAACAACATTGAAGCCGATACATTCCATAGTTGCGATTGGAAGAGAGAGACATAAATCTTATCTTTTTAGTTCTTAAAATTTCTGTTAAAGTTTGTTCAATAGCATAGAGTTTTGGTGAGAAGTCAAACATGGGCATACTACTTTAGCAATAGGGAGGTACTATCATTTTTGTTCTTACATTTTCTATATTATTTTAGTCTTGTTAGAGATTTATATGTCAATAGAATATGTAGAGAACCTTTTTCTAATATTTGATTCAGAGGTGATCAAGCCATTATTGCTGGTTATTATTAGTGCTTTTTCCATCTATTTTCGGCTCTCTGTTGTTGTTACTGATGTGCTGTCTCGTTTCGTCTTCTTGAGTCAAGGGTCTATACTTCTCCGGGGTAGGTTAAGGTCTGCGTACACACTACCTCCCCCCAGACCCGACTTGTGGTATTTTACTAGGTTGTTGTTGTTGTTTATTCGGAGGTGATCAAATGGATCATTAGCCAATCACAGCAAGAATGGAATTGAGGTGTCTTTGCTAATTTGTGATTGTTATTTTTATATAATAGCAATAAATCACTTAGGGAAAACTTTGGTAAAAAAGTTGAAGGCAAGGCTGCTACCAGTAATTCTGTAGTCAACAATGATTTACAGAATGCTTTTCTTGATATTTCTGGAATTGTTAGGCATTATCAATATCAACTGTAAAGTGTTTTCTTAGCTTCTTCCCCTTCAACTCCACTTCAATTCACTCTATAAACTCTATTCATTCTCTTCGTATCACATTTTATCTCAGCATAATATAATACATAAATTCTCGTATAATTTAATGCATGTATTATTTAATACAGCCGTCTATGCAGGATAGTTATGTCGGGATTATTTTTCCCATACGGTCAATCAAATGTTGCATCAATTATGTGGAGATTGTTTTTCCTAATCTCTTCAACTAAAATTGTACATTATTTTGTTCAGAATTTTATGTGCGGAATAGTTATGTCAGGATTAATTTTTTTCCCATATGGTCAACCAAATGTTGCATCAATTATGTAGAGATTGTTTTCCCTAGTCTCAGCAACTAAAATTGTACATTATTTTGTTCAGAGTTTTATGTTGAAGTGACTTTCCCTAATCCATACAACCAAACGAAGGAATATTATTTTTTTAAAATTTTCCTAGGAGGGATAAATATGTAATCTGTTGTTTGAGAGAGTATCTATTTTTTCAGTTTCTTTACAAATCGAGCAACTATAGAAGAAAGTATTTGAGTGTCGTTGGTGAGTAGGTGAGTGATTCAAGACTTACATTTAAATTCTTACAAATGCTTTTGTTTCAATTATTTTGTTTTGATGACTAACTTTAAATCATTTGTCCCTAGGATTATAATCAGTCAACTTTCGCTGTTTTTATTTCTTGAAGAAATTAAAATTTTAAATTATCAATCTCCACCTTTTAGATTTGTTTTGCTTTAATGAATATTAAATAAATGCAGTAAAAATTATATATTTGATAGAATCCTTGAGGGATCAAATTAAAATTTACTGAATAATTATTAATTAATGCAAGTAATAACAAAGCAGGCACGTTAGAATGAATAAATTTAAACTGATCTTGTGAGATTTAGACCACTTAAACAGCATAAAAATTTAATGTAAATTCAAATCTCCGCTTACATATATTCCCCTTCCTGAGATTTTTACACTGTAGGGCTCTTATAAAATAGTATTTATACTAATATTACCATATTTGGATTATTCCAATAATAGCACACTTTATTACAAATGTAGCACATATAAATACTCCCCCGTTCACTTTTACTTGGCATGTATATTAAAAATAGATTTTCATTTTTATTGTCACTTTACGCATATCAAGAGAAAGATAATTTTTTTTCCTGTTATACCCACAATATTTATTACTCATTTCAAATTATTTTCTCAAATTCAATAAAATATGCATAAATTAATATGGGTATCATGGTAAATTATGCACTTCATTTATTATTTCTTAAGGGGTGTAAAAAGTCAAAACGTGCCAAGTAAAAGTGAACGGAGGAAGTAAATAGTATTTAATAACTTAGTTATTTCCTAACTCTTCTTAAAAACAATGGATTGTGTTTAAATTCTTGATAACTTAATTTCTCTTTCTCTCTCATAATAAATAATCGCTCTTCTCTCATTGGGAGAAATTTCATGTATTCCCTTATTTCAGTAGAAGTTCTTCCCATCACTTATCAATTAAACTTTACTTTTTCGAAAATGATATTCAAATACGATTGTTGCTTTCTCACAATCTTCAGCAAATCTCACTCTTCTAAGAAATTACCATCACAAGAGTTAAACCAAATATTTCTTTCTCCTCGTACTTTTTATTCTTCAATAATATACAATTTGGTGTATTATATAGAGTATTATCACCTGCCACACGACCAAGTATTCAAGTATAAAATTTCTTTCTATTATGTTGTCATTGCTCATCTATATAGCAGATTTTCCCAAATATTTAATACAACATGTTTGTTTTAAAATATAACATATTAAATATAAACATTTATATATACTTCATACCTATAATGTACATAACAACATTTGAATTAAAAACATACCTTATGTATACGATGTTAAATACACACAATTGAGTATGTTTTACAATGAAATTATACCTCGAGAAATTAGAATAATTAAGAATAAAGTCTCTCTCGGCGCACGTTAAGCAAGGTCTGCTAACTTGCACTGGTGGAGATGGCAAGACAGAGGAAGAAGAACTCCATAGTTAAGGAATCGAAAGTAGACGAGGAAGATAAGGCAGACGATGAAGATACCAGACTAGTTACACTAGAAACGGGGATTCCCCAAGCTCTACACTCAGCGCAACTATTCCATTGGATGAAAGGCATGGGGAGTGCACCAACTGTTATGCATGGACAAGAGAGGAAGAAATCGGAGGAACCGGTGGCAATTCAAGCACAAGCAGCTCCGATAGCGAAGACTCCTGCAGATACTGCACCAAATGAGACGGAAATTGCGAAAGCAGCTAGGAAACTTATGTTCTCAAATCAGAAGCCAAATTCTGAGGGAACAGAGATAAACCTAGCTGAAGTGGTTAAATGAAACAGATCTCAACGACAGGGGATGCAATTGGAGTATTACCCCCAATTATCAAGGATGGAGTGAAGATGGTTAGACTGAATCAAATTGAAGTCAAGGAGCAAATTCAAAAATGGCAGGCATCGCTAATTGGGTATGTATTGGGAGGAAATCCATCGTTTAAAGACATGCTTAAGTTTGTATATGGTGTGTGGAACTTTGTAGCAACTCCACAAGTTTTTCTTCATGATGATGGATATTTTGTTTTCAAATTTGAATCGGAAGAGGATAAGAAGTTAGTTATACAGAAAGGGCCATATACGTTTAATAATCGGCCAATGATATTGAAGCAATGGGAACCTAAATTCCAAATGAGTAAGGAGAAAACTAGGAACATTCCAATTTGGGTGATGTTCCCAGGGCTGCCAGTAGAGTATTGGACAAAGGAAAATTTAGGTCGAATAGCGAGCTGTATTGGGAAACCTATATGCTCTGATAGGTTAACTGAAGAAGGTGAAAGAATTTCTTATGCTAGGATGTTGATTGAAATGGATATATCACAGGAGTTGCCAAATGTATTGGTAATTGACGAGGAAGAGGGTATATACAGGGAACAAGAACTAGAGTATGAATGGAAACCAGATTTCTGTGATGCTTGCTTCCAAATAGGCAAACATGAAGTCAATTGTGAAAAAGCCCCAAGTGAGAAACAAGAGAGGAGAAACAGAATAGACAAGCTGGAATGAAGCAACAAAAGAAGATGCAATGGAAAGTAAAAGCCACAGTGGAACAAGGAGGAACATCAAAGGTGCAGGAACAAAAGGTGCAGGAAAAAGCAATACCACAGGATAAGGAGATGAATGATCAGGGGAAGGAACAACAAGAAAATCAGAACAGTGAAACTCAAGAGGAAATTTTTCAGCCACAACAAAGATCTAAAGGAAAGCAAAAGATGAAGGTAAGCAACAAAAAAGTACTGAATGGTCATGAGATAGAAAAGCTGTTAATGACTAACAGATACAGTACATTGAGAATACAAGAGCCTAGCAGCACTGTAAGAAGGGCTGAAGGGATTGACCTCAATGAGGAAAATCCCCTATGATAATAAGTGCATGGAATATAAGAGGGCTGAATAAGCCCTATAAGCAGAGAGAACTCAAGGCCTATCTGCTGAAAAATAAAATTACTCTACTAGGCTGCATTGAGACAAAGATTAAGCCTAGGAGTGTTAGTAAAGTTAAAAGAAAATTTGGAAAGGACTGGCAGATATTTTCAGATGAAAAGATAAATCCTATTGGTAGACTTTGGGTATTCTGGAAAGATGCTAAGGTGCTAGTCAACATCCTGATAGTCACTACTCAAGTGATCCATTGTCAAGTGAAGGACAAGGGATCCCAATTTGAATGCTGTATTACATTTGTGTATGGCAAGAACAAGTTACATGAAAGGAAGGAGTTATGGGATCAACTAAGGATGATTTATAGAACAATGCATGAGTCTTGGTTGGTGATAGGAGACTTTAACAGTGTTCTATCTGTCAATGATAGAATAAATGGTCAGCCTATTCATCAAAATGAGATAGTAGATTTTCAGAATTGTATAAAGGATATTGGAGTGGGGCAATTGAATAGAAAAGGGTGTCAGTGGTCGTGGTGCAACAAAAGAGATGCTGGAGAAAGAATATACAGTAACATTGACTAGGTGTTTGGAAATGCATCTTGGTTTACTAAATATAATAGTTTAGAAGCAGTTTATGAGGTACCAGGTGTTCCAGACCACTCTCCTATTGAAATAAATACTGAGGTGGTAAGAAGTTACTTGAAAAAACCTTTTAGACTTTATAATGTACTGCTATACCAAAAGGAATTTCAAGAGAGTGTGCAAGAAATATAGAACCAAAGAATTGAAGGGCATACTATGCATTCCATATGGACCAAACTACAAAGAATACAGGACAGAGCAAGGCCGATGAATAAAGAGATGAACTCATTAGAAAAGAAGGTGTAGAAAATCAGAATGGAGTTGCAGAATATCCAAAAACAGATTGATAATGATCCACTGAATCAGCAGCTAATTGAACGGGAAAAGGAAATGATAATGCAAGCAGAGAAATGGGAAGGAATACATGAACAAGTGTTAAGACAAAAATCTAGAGCAGTATGGATAAAAGCAGGTGACAGAAACTCCAAATTCTTTCATGCTCAGCTAAAGAACAGACAGGCTAGAAAAAGAATTGCTTCCATTTGTAATGAGCAGGGAGAAAGAGTAACAGAGCCAAAGCAGATTGAAGATGAGTTCAAAAGCTTCTTTCAGAACTTACTGGGCTGTGCAGCAACTGAACTACCATGCATTGACCTGGACATAGCTAGGAATGGACACTGTCTCACAAAGGAGCAACAGAAGATGCTGAATTGTAAAATAACAAGAGAAGATGTTGATAAAGCAGTGAAGGAGTCACCAAATGACAAAGCACCAGGGATAGATGGTTTTACTACAGAATTTTTTAAGGAATATTGGTCTACAATTGGGGATAAGGTGAGAACAACAGTACTAGAATTATTTAGCAATGGGAAGCTATTGAAGAGTGTTAACTGTACAACATTAACACTGATCCCAAAGGTAGCCAGTCCAAATTCAGTCAAAGAGTTTAGACCTATTGCATGCTGCACAACTATATACAAGATCATATCAAGAATCATCACAACAAAACTGAAATTGGTGGTAGACTCAATTGTAGGAGAATCACAGTCAGCTTTTATCGAAGGAAGGAACATACTGGACAATGTCATCATAGCACATGAGATGGTAAAAGGGTACAATAAGAAGGGAGTGTCACCAAGATGCTGTATCAAGATAGATATCAGAAAAGCCTATGACTTAGTTGAATGGCCTTTCCTTAGAATGATATTGATAGAGTATGGTATGCCTGTGAAGTTTGTGGAGCTGATTATGGTATGTGTAACTACTGTTAGTTACTCTTTGATCCTAAATAGAGGGTTAACAAACAGATTCCAAGGGAAGAAAGGGCTAAGGCAAGGAGACCCAATGTCTCCTTACCTTTTTGTGCTTGTGATGGAGTATCTGAACATAGCTCTAAAGAAGTTAAAAGACAATCCAGACTTTAATCATTATCCAAGGTGTTCCAGGAATAATATTACTCACATTTGTTTTGAAGATGATTTAATTCTTTGTTCAAGAGCAGATGAGGTGTCTATCAAATTGATGCCGAAAAGTTTCAACCACTTCTCAGAGGTATCAGGTTTGAAGGCCAATCTAGAGAAAAGTTCCCTATACATTGCAGGTGTTACAAAGGAATTCAAGGAGAGGATACTGAATGAGATGCAGTTTACTTTAGGAGAATTACCATTTCGATATCTTGGTGTCCCACTTTCCTCAAAAAAGCTGTCAGTGCAGCAGTGTATGCCCTTGATCGAAAAGATAACAGCAAGGATAAACTGCTGGACAACAAAGTGCTTATCATATAGTGGAAGGCTCCAATTACTGAAGAGTGTGATATTTGAGATGCAAACGTACTGGACACAAGTGTTTCTGTTGCCAAAGAGGATACTCAAGATGATTGTTACTGTATGTAGAACCTTTCTGTGGACAGGGAAAAGTGATATTTCAAGGAGAGCATTGGTAGCATGGGACACAATATGTATGCCATTGTCAGCAGGGGGATTAAATATTCTGGACATCTATGCATGGAACAAAGCTGCATTGTGCAAATTGTTATGGGCCGTTAGTGCAAAGGAAGATACACTATGGATTCAATGGGTCCGTAGTTATTATGTTAAAGAGAAAGATGTGATGGTAATGGATACTCCTAAACAAGCATGTTGGATAGTGAAAAAAATCTTTGATACTAGGCAATGGTTTCTGGAAAAACACTCAAGAAATGAGCTGGAGCAATACCAAAGTAATGGTAAGTTTAGCATTAAAAAGCTATATATTGCAATGAGACCTCAGTTCCAGAAGGTTTGGTGGAAGAAGATTACAGCAGGATCGAAAGCAATACCAAAGCATAGATTCATACTTTGGTTAGCAGTTCACAGGAAACTAGCCACAGTGGACATGCTAAGAAGATGGGGCAATATAGTTGACAATGAATGTGTATTATGTGATACAAATGAGGAAGAATCAATGGAGCACATATGGTTTGGATGCAAATATGCCAAAACAATATGGTATACACTGGTTAATTGGTTGAATGAAAAACATCAGATTGGTACGTGGGATGATGAAATTAAATGGCTGACAAGTAGAAATCCAAGCAGAACCTGTGGAGAAATACTAGTATTCTTATTCACAGCCATGGTGTATCACGTTTGGATAGAGAGAAACAGCAGAAGATTCCAAGGAAAAGCAGTAGAAGCCAGGCAGAAAATTAAAGACATAGTGCTGGAACTGCACATGGCTCGACAGAATGAAAGGAAATGACAAAAAGAACTAGCAAGACTGAAGAATTATCCAAGTATAGTATAGAATGAGTATAGTAATTGAAGGATAAATGTGTAAACAGAAAGTGATAGCTGAGAGTGTTCAGAAATGTAATAGATAGAATCTAGTTCTAGAGTCAAAAAAAGAACTAGCGGATGTAAATATTATTTCTTGGTTAAATAAAGTTTAAGCATTTAAACAAAAAAAAGAAGAAATTATACCTCAAAAGTATATTTATACAAAGGGGATTTCTGTTATTTATTTTCAATATTTTATTTCAGTTTTATTTTTTCAGCAAAATATCCATTTAATATATTTATAATATATTATATTATAAAAGATTATATAATTTTAATATTCCTTAAATAAAATAAATTATTATTAACTGAAATTATATTGTGGATATAATGTAAATATTTCATCAAAATATCTCATCTATTACTGTCACGACCTAAAATCCCTCCGAAGTCGTGATGGCACCTACTGTATAAAACTAGGTAAGCCTAACACATACTGATCACTAATGGAATTTAACTAACTTAACTGCAATACATTAAATAATTTCCTTTGCGACATAGTCAAACCAACTTCAATCACAAATTTCTAAAATCGGTAGACAAATCACAAGCCTTTCTAAGAGTAACTATAAATAAGGAGTACATCTGTGTTCTGGAATAATAGGAGATAATGAAAATAAATACAACAAAAGGCGATTTCGGGGCCCGCAAACGTCGAACAAGTATACCTTGAAGTCTCCAGTAGCACATACATAATTCTTCAACCAATTCAATCATAAGTACCTGAATCTGCACAAAAATGTGCAGAAGCGTAGCATGAGTACACCACAGCGGTACCCAGTAAGTATCAAACCTAACCTCAGTAGGGTAGTGACGATACCATGTCAAGACACTTACCAGAATGTAAACTTGTGCAAGATAATACATGAAGCTAACAAGGAAGAACATCAATATAAGGCCAATAACAGAAGGATTTCAAATTACCATCAACAGTGAAGATAAGGGAAACATGGATGGCAACGAGATCAACCAAGTAATTAAGCAACAACATAGTCGGGTATAAATGAAATATGAATGGGTCCAAGTAAGGGAAAATCGATGACCACTCAATCAATCAAATCATTCCAAATGGCCAAATTTCAACAAGAATTACCCCGAGTATCACTTCTCGTAAATCTCAAATCATAAGTCAAATTTCCAAACTTTACACACATGGCATCTTGTGCCCACGTTTTTTCAAAACTCTTTCACGGCAAAACCCTCGTGCTACCAGTACATAGTATCCGTGT